AATCCCATGTGACAGTATTACCCAGACACTCTCTTCTTTTGTAACATCTGCTTTTGGATGTTTGACGAACACCTCGCAGACAGGCAGATACACTGAATCAAATCAATGAAAACAAAATAAGCAATAAAAATAACCTCCTATCTTCCATTTTACCATCTTAGAATCAGAATTAACCAGCAGATTCAGCTTTGGGGTCATTTACAAAGCTTTGACTTGACTAATGCTCTGATTAGAGCTCAGCCGTGTTCAAGACACACTGCTTCATAACAGTGTTAATCATAGCAGCTTTGTCCTGCTCTTAGTTGGAGTTGAAGCAGTTTATTGCGATACATCTGCCAAGCTATTCAGTTTGTCCTCATGCTTAAAGTCTTGTCTACTGTAAAAGGCTTTTGAAAGTACTTCTACTAGAGCATCCAAACATTTCACATATGTTTGGTATTCTTTCATTACGTTGTTTAGTTGCATACTAACACACTTCTGTCAAGCTGAAGTTGTTTGACTGGCAGGCTGTCTTGCAGACTTGCCACCTTCTAACATTAGATTCTGTGACGCTGTATTTGGCAGAATTGTATGCGGAGATGCTTTCCTCTCCTTTTCACTCTTCACAACTTAACATGAACTGAAAGGTAACTCCTGTGCCCACTAGACATTTTCTGGCCTGTCTAACCTTAACAGACACCATAGAGATGGATGAGTTGAAACCGGCTGAAACTCGCTTGCCTAGAAACATTAAGGCTACAAACAACCCATAATGCAACACTAAAATTATTATCAGCGCAGCCATAATGAAAAGCAAATAACAACTTAAAGCAGCTTTAATCAATATTCCTGTAACGTGCATCAGATTGCAACATAAAAACTGTGAGAGGAGTCACCAACTGATCAAATTGGTCTGAATTCATTCATAAATAATAAAAGTCACCAGCTGCAAGCAAAATGTCACTCAGCCTCACACAATTTTGGTTCACCAGACCGGCTCTGGAGCTCTATCTCACAGTCAGGTGAGATTTATTCCTGTGCGCCTGTGCTCTCTGATAAAGATTTGTTTTGCTTGGAGGTGTAAAGACCAGAGTGAGTCAAGGTGTATCACAGCAGTTATGCCAGTCCTCTGCAAAAGCTTCAACCAGAGATGCTGTGGCAGTGAACTGGAACTATCTTAACATGTATCAAATTACAACATGAAAAATGTCCCTCATCGTGATGAACCAATAGAGAATTATCACCAAAACCTTGAGAGCCCCACAACTTTATGAAACTTTAAAGCCAATGTCTCTCACCGCTGTCATATCGTGTTTAGCCTGTGCACTGTACACTACCTGCTCAGCAACAAACAGCACACAGACACATTTAGTAACCAGCTGATGAACATAGTAGAGCATTTAGCAAGGAAAGAGACAGATATTTCACTGAGGAGTTTGGCAGAGCCCAAAAATCATAGCTGAAAGTAGGGATGGCTCGATACCACAATCTTGAGTGTCTGCCGATATTGAGACCGGTCTTTTTCCCTCTCCCTCTCTCAACAACTAAGCTGTTACAAATAATACATTTAATTAGATGCGCTTTGCTTAATCCCTCAAAAAGTATCAATTGTAATTGTTTCTTCACTTCATTGAAATTGCTCTCATCATTGTTACCTTTCTTTGACTATAAAATACACGGAGGAGGAATTGAGTAAACCAGCACAGCATTCAACAAATATTCCACTCCAATGAAGGAAAAAAGCATTTATAATAGATTGAATTGATTCAAACATTAAAAATGGAATTTAAATAAACTGATCTTTTTTGGTTTTTTTCTTCCTTTATTTCAAGACAGCTGACATGATGACAGCACTGACAAGTCTCACTCACTCTTCCAGCTCAATCAATAGTTGTCGATGACTAATGGACGGTAACTATCTGTCATTTTCGCCATTACTTTGTCAAAACCTGGACAAAGGAAGCCAAAATATAGATGCGTTTTCAGATGTTGTGACATAGCCTCAGCTAGCATCCACTGAAGCAGTATTAACAGTCAGATAACACAGTGAGACTGAACACAACAAGAAAGCTAAAGCTGCACAGCTCTCACTGCAGTGACACCAAATGAGCACCATTATTGGAGCTGAGGTCAGGACAAGGCTGGGATAGGGAATGAGACGGCTAGGCTTTCACAAATGTGAGCTGATGGACAGACGCATTCCACGACTCACCACTGTCTACTATTGATCCACACGGCTGTTCACAGAAATAATTATCCTCCAGTATACATAGATCAAGAATGCATCACAGGAGAATGTTGTTAAACCCAGCACTGCTTCCTGCAGTGATCACTGTGTATGGTGGTACGTACACTTACAGTAAGGATCCCTTGCTAATCAAACTGATTGATCTTACAGTGTCCTCAACAGGTAATAAGGTCCATTAATAAGTCATACCAAGTGTTTACCTAGTATTTAGTTGAATTAATCTAAGCTACTGCTGGCAGTGCAGATAGCCCTCTCATATATGCTCACACATTTGTCACCTCCATCAAGGAGTGGTACAATATCTTATCGAATCAGAGCTGTAAAAGATACTGTACCTTCTCAGTATCTCATATCCTCTTTAAAGAACACAAGTAAGCTTCTTATGTACGTACGTTAAGCCCCCTGTGTTAGCCAAAACAAGACTGAGGATGTAGCTTCTATAGAGGACGTTTGTGGGAAATGATGCAGAAAATGGGTTCGGTGATTTGTGGCTGCATTTTGACTGTCTCTGAGGTCCTCTTATACTCATTAATCCTGAGCCTGTGTTGGCATGATATTCATGTAGCTGGTAGAGGAGCGAGGAATTCGGTGCAGATTAAATATTTCCTATTTCAACTGGGCAGATATATGGCACTCAGTCTAACAAGGGCTGGAGACTCCAAATGAGAGAGCATTTAATCAAATTTGGTAACATGTCAATCAAAAATGCATATGTCGTTATTCAGTGGTTCAAAACCCTTTCAAATAATAACAAAGAATTAGTAAATACTGCATAAGTGCAATTTACACGTTGGGGTTTGTATTTTTCCACCGTCAGTCTTTGGCCATCACAAAGCTGTCAGAGAAGTTTAAAGGCCCGAATCATGAGCCTGATCTTAATCTTTAAGTGATGTTTGGATGAACACCATTTTACAGGCAGCTACAATAATAACACAACGGTCTGGAGATGCCTGAGCCAGCTGTGCATGGTCACACACACACAGTCTAAAGTAAATTAATGATTAGCTGAAGGGAAAAATTGTCTGATCACAAGAGAATTGATACTTAAGGCATTAAACTAGATAACATTGAAATAACAAGTTTCAAATTAGGCACAAAACTGTCTGGATTTGTCAGAGGAGAGGGTTTATGAAGGATAAGGCTGGCGATATATTTTTCTTTAGAGCTAAAATTATCAATTAATCATCAACTATTTAGATGTTAGTATAATTGTTTGAGTTTTTCATTTTTCAAATATTCTGTTACCACCTTCTCTAATGTATGGATTTGCTGCTTTCCTGTGTTTCATATCTAGATCTCTTTGGATTGTGGGCTGTTGGTCAGACAAAGACATTTAAAGACATTTCTGAAAGTTTATTTACAAAAGGATTAATCAATTAATGCCTGATTTAGTTTATTCACCTGACCACAGACCAGCTATTTTAGGAAATTACTTTAATAACGTTATTATTAATTACCTTATTTTAATGAAACTATATATTTGTGAGCCTTTGTCTTGAAGATTAACATTTTAAGCAGGAGAGATTTAAGCTTGTAGAGACAGATTGAGGAAGCCAGAAAGTTTGGAGAGACAAACTTATGAATTGTTTGTTTTGGTGTTTTCAAAGATATAGAATATCACCAGTCTTATCCTTTAATACCTGTGGGATATGTGAGTTTTAGTGTGCTAGCTCGTATGCATGAACTGACTGACAACATCCTGACAGGTAGATCTGCATCCCTCCTTCACATCCAGCGGTAACGGCCAATCAGTCGATAGATAGATAGATAGATAGATAGATAGATAGATAGATAGATAGATAGATAGATAGATGGTGAGCATGAGAAGGTTAACAGAAAATATATGGTACATGCAACAGAGACAATCTTCGGAATCAGTATTAATGTAAACAAAACTTTCCTTACTGCCCCAAAACGGCGCAAATACAATATTCACACAGTCATATATTTTCTAACAATGGAGGATTTCTATCTGCTGTGGGATCATGGGTAATGAATATGCGCACATGCTTACTGAATGAAAACACACACAAAGTAACATAACCATACACACACACCAGTAGGAATATCCACAGATAGACAGTAAAATATTCTGCATCAGTATGAATTCCTGCCTCACATGTGATCATTTGGGAAAACATCTGTCTGCAGTGACATTTACATGACTGCTGAAAACTGCAGGTGTGCTATCACAAAATCAGGTCTTAGACCAGTGAATGAAGAAGTCATGGGGTTTGCACATTGGCATGTAGCATGTGTATTCACATTGTTGCTGCAGTGCAGATACAGAACACAACTCTTTCTTGAATAAAAGAGCAGCCAGGGGCTTGATAGCTCAGTTATCTTATGACACGTAAATCTAATCTGATTCTACGAAAACATCCCATCAAACATGTTCATTTTCTGCTGCAGCTATTCCTCCTCTTTTTCAGCATGGCTGCTCCAAGTTTTGTCACATCTGACTTCTACAAACACAGCAGCATACAGGCTAAGGCCCACTGACTGTGAGTCAGATTTCTCATGCACTGTGGTCACATGACAGTTTCCCAAACTCTAGTAGCCCTGGCTGTTTGTCACTTCAGCAGTGTGCTGCCTCAGGGGTTGAGGCACACCGAGAGAGTTTGAGGCGTCCCATGGGAACGTTATTATTAGAGAGCGAATATTATATAGTCATGATTCCCTTGGACACTTCCCTCTTGAAGCCAAGTGTGCTCAGTGGAATATTAAATGTGCACAAGGATTCCTGACTGGGAACACAACTGCAAGAAGATAATAGATGCATGTATGTTGTATATGAAATAATGGCGCATTTATGCATAAAAAGAACAGGTTTGTAAGCAGACACGTTTAACTTGTAATGGAGCACATCTAAATACAGCAATTAGCAGGTACAATCCTCACACATCCAGGCCAAACAGGCCGGCCAAAGTCTCCTGTCGCTCTGAAAAGCTGATTCCGGCTCTCGACTGACAACCGCTTTAACGACGTGACAGTAAACACTGGCGCTAAAAAACAACAACAACATAATTGATCGGACCTCATATCTGCACTGCACATGGATCAGTCGCACGCAGCATATCATGTGGGTGTGGACGAGCGGCATCACCAAAATGTCATCATAGAGAAATGAACGCCACCGTAAATGAGTTAAATGCACGAACGGGCCCGGAGTCACGCCGATGCTGATGGCAGCAAACTGTCGCCCTCTCGGGAGGACAGGGCGACAGCTTTAGGGCATGTACCCGAATTTTTCTCCCGTTTTCACAGCAGCACTGGCTCATCGCTGGAGCCGGACTCCCCGACGTTGCATAAAATGTGTTGCACACGGGAGCAGCGGCGTCAATGAAGCGGTAATCGTAAACACACACATACACACACACACACACACACACACACAGCGACGCAAATGTGCTCGGAAGACGAAAATAATAGAAAATGTGCGTCTCACTCACCTCGCCATCTTCTCCCCATTTTTTTTATTTTATTTTCTCTCTCTCTCTCTCTCTCTCTCTCTCTCTCTCTCTCTCTCTCTCTCTCCAAACCAAGGAACCGCTCCAGCCTTCACTGACGTCACGCAGCCCCTCTCTGCAGCAGAGAGCAGCAGGCCTGCAGAGGAGGACCAGGGAGGAGAGAGGGAGAGAGAGAGAGAGGAGGAGGAGGAGGGAGGAGAGAGAGAGTGAGAGACAATGCTTGAACAGATGCAAAAACATGAATCATAAAAAAAAAAAAAAAAAAAAACACACTCATCCCTCCCATCTTCTGATGGGGGGGCAGACAGACAGACAGACAGACAGACAAGCATGTCTCATTCATCGAGTCCAACATTAAAAGCTGTTAGGACAATTTGGTTCTGCCAGCTGCTGCTTTGCTTTGTGAATTTCGTTACTATTTAGCATCCTGTCAATCATCCAACCAGTCAGTCAGTCTTTATACAAAGAGTGGAAGAGTCATGGAATTCATGGGGACCTGAGGCTGTTTTTGTTCCTGGAGGTCCTCAAAGTAAAGTAGTTTAAGGTGGGAACATTTTTGCTGTGTTGTTTGAATCGTTTAAAGTTTTGTTATAATGAACAGGGATCGGACACTTTAACAAAAAGATTATAAAAGGATTATAAAACTTTTGCTGAACAGCGAGTGATGGTGATCTTACGAAGTGTACCAGTAGCACAAGTTCTTCAAGAAAGCAAACTAGTTAGAATTAGTTACAATCTAAAGGTTGCTACCATAAAATACCAAGTAAGGAGGTTGCAGCAAAATTCTTGAGCGTAGTGGATTGGGTGAGGGTACGTTTTTGCTTCTGATGAATTAAAATTAAATATTTAGGTATATAATCAAGCATAAATTCTCTGGGTGCAGCTTCTGCAGTCTGGGAATTTGTTGCTTTTATCTGTTTTATACAAGCCAAGATTACGCAAGTGGGCAACTTCCCCAGAGAACCAAAAGCCCCAAATGCCTCAATGTTCACTGGGTGTCAGACGCTTTTTGGTAATATAATTACTTGCAGATTTGTTTGAGACTTTTGGGCACCACTGAAGAACAACATCAACTGAGTGCTGCATTGTTAAGCGGCCATTTGAAGAAGGGCGCTGTGTAAAACTCTAGTTCTGAGACCTGCATTACTTTATATTCCATTTAGTTTATATCATATGCTGCATTTTCCTAAGTATAATAGCCAGGAATGTATTAGTATTGCAAAATATAAGGGAGTCGCTATAGTGTAAAGAGAATATATTTGGGTCTTTGACTTTTTTGACATTTACTGGACCAGATTGATAAATGAAGAAAATAATGATCATTAGTAGTAGTTCACAGTGTTGTAGCCTTGTTGTTTTAGATTTTTAGTATGTCTACAATCCTGGCTATTGCCCTGAGGTTTCGTTAGTGGTGGTCGTTGATGAGCTAGAAATGACCATGGAGTAGATCAACTTAAAATTTCATAGGATTGGGTATTGGGTTGGATCATGGTAGATTTTACAGGAGTCTATTTTGGTTCTCCTGATACAAGTTTTTAGATTTTATTGCAGATTTAATCCATTTTACAGTCACCTTTCCTACTATAATTACTAGCTGTAGTCATGACAACTGCAAAACACTTGTCAGATATGGTATCAGCAGCACACTGTTTATTTTTTTGTGGGTCCTTGGCATCATAAAGTTTGAGAACACTGCAGACCTTTCTAAGCTGGGTGTTAGTGTGGGGGTCATAACTCTTGCAACAAATCATACGTTACGTTGTTATGTGGTGACAGAAAAAGAGGAGAAAATAGAAACAAGACCGCACTAGAAATCTGCTTCCAGGGCTTCATTCTCCAGCTGATGTTTTGTTCCCATGCTTCACAGCCCGGGGATATTTTCTGTATCTGTGTGATTAAAAATAGTTGTGTATTTACAGCAACTAGAATTTGCCTTTGTCATTTACTTTATCACTTTAAATTCCATACCCATGCTACTACATGATACAAATGTAATCCTTGAGTTTGACTGAATGATTCTCTTACAGACCTAGGTGTCGTTGTATACCATCCTCCTAGTGAACTTTATATAGGATGTGTAAGTGTGCCTGCAAGGAAAACTGAGTTGCAATTTAAATCTGTGTGAACCAACCAGTAATATTTTTGTACAATAAAACAACGTACTGCAACAATGATTTTAAAGGTTGTGAAATGATAAATCTCATGTAATTTGACTTTTCTTTTGTTGGACTCCTGTTATTAAACACATCATCACACATAGATGTTAATGTGGCCACTTGGATGACATTATACAGAATATCTTATTTGAGGAGCATATAAGGGGCAGGGAAGTGAAGATTTGAAATATGCTTTCTGACAATAACTCACTAAAAGGGTGTGTTTAAATATGATGTATTGATGTATGAATTAATATAAATTGAGGTGGAAGACACTAAATGCCTCTTTATATGGTAAAAGGTTCAGCTTTAACAACATGAAGCTGGAGACCTCAGAGTGAATGTACAGTGTAAAGTTTGATTTTACTGTAGCTTTAGCCAAAACCAGAAGGTGTGTTTGTGTGTGTGTGTGTGTGTGTGTGTGTGTGTGTGTGTGTGTGTGTGTGAGAGAGAGAGAGAGAGAGAGAGAGAGGAGGGCGGAGAGAGCGAGAGAGAGAGAGTTGTAGGATCCCATTTAGGAGCTCAAGCACCACTTACTGGTCAAAGATTAGAAGTACACTATGTACAGGCTGCCATTTGAAAATATTGTGATTGTACATATCACAATTTAACAACTGAACTATATTAGTTACCATTAAAAAACAGTAACACTGGCCCTGCCAGCTCTCCATAACGTTGTGATGTATTGTACAGTATATGTTTACTGTGCAACACACAACTCCCTCTACTAAGCGAAATTAGATTTATTTAGTATTAATCACTTTTAAACACACAGCTGTGTAGAAAACATTTACTCTTTGGCATTCTTTTAGATTCAGTTTGTAAACTAGCATTAAATTAGCTGTAAGAGATCATTACACAGAAACACTCAAAGCTATCAGTCATGTCATACATTAGAATTAGTAAAAAACTCTGTAACATTACCATTGAAACACATGCCAGAATTATAGTTTTAAAACATAAAGTCACACAAATACAATGTCGAGTACAAGTCAAGTCGTCAACAGACCCTTTTTGTTGTGGTGTTCTACATCAGAAGGCCAAATAAACAATGATAAAATAACAAATGTATTGATGTATGTATGTATATGATGTATCAGATGTAGTCTAAAGACCTTATTCCATGGTGATGTCTAAAATGTATGAACGCCAGCTTCATTTTGAAGCTGCAATTAAAAAGTCTAACTAAGAATTCATTTTCGTCGTCCACTCAACTTTAGATTATTCTGAGCAAGTACACAGAACATTAAGGTGTCAAATGGGCCATAATTCATCACACTCCTGTGACTGTCAAATTATTCATGCCAAATGTCAACATTTTCCTCACTAATTTTCTCAGTAAAACTAAAGAGACCAGTGTGTTCTTTGTGGCCAATTAGTATTCATTTAAAAGTTTTCCTTCCTGTGGTAAATATAGTGCTATTATTATGTAGTTAGCAGCAAGCTGATGATATAGAGAGGGAAGGTTTTATACATAGAAAGCCTGGTTTACCCATTATGTATTTATGTGATGAACGTAGCCATTCTTGTCTTGTTTTTTAGAATTATATAAACTAACGTCAGGTTAAGTGTTGAAAATCTTTGGTTAGCTAACGCACAATGTCAATACTGCACATAACAATAATCATTTGAATATAACTTAATGATTTAGCATGCAATGTTTTTTAAATATATGTGTGCTTTGTTTTTGACTACACCTGCTGTTATGAAACCAACCAAACGCTTTTTTTGTGAATTTGTGACGCAGAACATTGATTATAATCAAGCCTACTTTGGTGACAGTGATAGTACTCTCCATGGATGCTCAGAGATGAATATGCCGCAGTATAAGAGGTGATTTTATTATATACCATTAATATTTAAATCAACGAGACAATAAAACAATCCCAGACGTATCTTTCTGTTTGATATAGCTGTACTGTCTGCTATATCCTTGATATCTTCATGTATTTCACAGTAACAGATGACACCTTCAGGCTGTTTCTAACAAAATATAACCTCTTTTATAATAAAAAAAAAGTGAAAAACCAAACCTGTTACATCAATCTCTACCCCTCTACGCCCTCTACATGCCGCACTCATCCAGTCATGACAGGGAAAGACTGACACACAAAAGCTTAAAAACTCTCTCCCTCAGGAGATTTTGATAGGATGAATATGATGCTGGGCCGTTTTCTCGTTCTCACGTCAAAAACCGTGGCAAATTTAGACCGAACACCTTTATCCATCCCTCCTTATTCATATTTATGAGAAGTGAGTGACAAACTCATTGTCTGGTAATTACAGTGTGGTGAACCTTCATTGTCTTTAGATTGGTAGAGACTGAGACACGCTGTGCTTTGGCTTGCTGCACTAATGCAAACCTCTTCCATGTAGATATTATTAGTCACTGTTTGCTTAGCAACCACAACACATGTCTGACATTTTTGTACAATGAAAATGTTTGCCCAGAGTTTATTTTATTTTGGCTTGCAAGGATTTTTAAAAAAGGTGAAAAGAAGATGAGGACTGAAAGGACAAGGCAAGGTCTGTTATTACTGTTACCATGCAGGACACTCAGCATTATGCATGTTGAAGTTATTTAACACCATATTTTTAAGAGACGTCAACGTCAAATGTGAAATCAATGAAAGAGACAAATATCTAGAGGGAACTGTGGTGATCACATGTTTAATTCATCATAAAGGAAGACTTATTTTACACTACTACTTACTTGCACACCACTTACAACCCCACCAAGGTAGTTATTATTATATTCTCATAGGAACTGTCTATCTGACCTTAAAATCAATTGAATTCAATAGGTCATGTTAGGCTAAATAACCCACTCCTAAACACATCAATAAGTCATGGCTGTATGTTATAGCAATAATAATATGTTGAGAAAAAAAGAGAGAAAAAGCATTTAAAGCTTTGAACAGCAGGGGGCACCAGTAATATGCAAGGATTAACTGATGAACAGTTACTGAGATAAATATGACAGTACTTTATAGTCGTCAGAACAAGATCAATATCACCACATATTAGAAATGTCTGTAATTGTTTGTGCAGACATTGTGTCTTGAAGGTTACCTTGTTGTCAGCCTGTTGTCTGTATTTGTATTATTGCTGCTATACATAATGCTCAAAATGACTAGCTGAACAGTGTAATATATATAAATAGGATCTGACTGCCAAATCTTCTGTTAACACTGAGGAGAAATTTCACACAGCTATATAGTCATTGATCAGGGAGACCACACAGTGCAAAATGCACCTCTGCAAAATCCTCAAAGGATAAGGAATTCATGCTACATCACTAAGTCAAATGGGCTTTAGCCGTCTGTTAACACTCAAGATAACACAATAGTACAACATACAATCCTGTGGGAGCTCAGCCAGTATCAATATATCACCTCAAGTGCCAATTATACTCATTAAAGGGATAAATTGTGATGAAACTGCAGGCTAACAGCTTGAAAATCATTATCACATTCACTGCACAACAATGTAACTCAAATGTAAGTATACAGTTTATTATCAAGCGGTCCAGCTATGAAAATGAGTGTGTGCACAGACACTTTAGGGAGAGAGGCCAAATAACGGGTAAATATAAAACATTTGGAAATCACTTGAAGATGTATTCAAGTCATTTTGGCAAACAGTGCTGCTATTACTTACAGTTGGCGCTTAACAAATGTATCAGTGTTCTGCAGAAATGTTATAACAAAGCCAGCTACTGAGGAATTATTATCTAATTTCTTATACAAAGGTATGTTTTTTTAATGCTTTCCAATGGTTTGTTTCAAGGATCATTAAATAGTTTCTAAGTGTTGCGTTCAGTGCCAGCTTTCATTTTCACTTAAAGATCAAAACTGGAAATAGATGTTTTATCGGCTATTTAAGTTTTTAATGCATAACCAAACATGAGCAAATCAAAAACTTTAGAATGTGGAGTTCTGTGATTTGTTTGCACTGTGTTCCTTCCTTAACATGCATACTGATAGACCCATAAACACTATTTAATAAAGTACATACATATAAACAAATAAATGCATTAGTTTTATATCATACATCTTACATTCAACCGACTTATATAATTTCTGCAGGATGTCCAACGAATGTTTTGTCAAGAAAACATAAAAAAGGAATACATTTAAAATGATTCTTCATTTTGTGTTAACTGCCACAATATTGTGATTTTAATTTGTGCAATGTACAACACATATCTGTACAGGAATAAGTATATAGTGTATGTTAATATTGAAACCTGAGGTATAATGATGGGCAGAGGCTTTTGTGTTGCAGGCAGCTCAGTGTATGTAGCCATTGTTGAAATGATTTCTGAATGGAAACTGATCTTGCTGACTGCAAACGCATTAATGTCCTAATATAGTAATACACGGATCTTATAGCAAAACCCCATGTATCACAATGACAACGATTATCCAGATCTCTGAATTCTTAGCTTGAGCCATGGATGTTGCCATAGTAACACGAGTATGTCTTATCAAGTACGGCCCTTGTGATTTTTCACTGCAACTTATTTAGGCTGTTCACTGTAGGTATGACAACAGGCTATTGAGTTGTTGCATTCATTTCCATGTTAATAGAGTTAACAGCCATTGTGTGTTAGCTTAACCTTTGATCTTGCCTTGTCACATTGTTGTCAGCTAATATTAAATTAGGCTAGTAATAGAGGCTTTTTATGTAAATGATGTAAAACGCTTCAAACCTATAAATAGGCATAATTCAGCTGAGAGCTAATACGATGGTCACTGTGATATCAAAACATTGCTGCTGTGCTTTAATGATCAGATTGTGAAAAGCAGGATATTCAGACATGCTGATGTTGAAGGTTAATCTTATCCTTCATAATCACAGTATATTGGATTTAATACTAAGATGGTTCAGCATGCATAAAGAAGATTTCTGCAGCTTTGTTGCTGAAGAAGATAAAACATTAGGGCTCTTGATTTCACATAATTTCCTACCAAATTCTATGTAAATAGTGAAAGCAGTGACTTAAAGCTCGAATGTCACCAGTTTGGAGAAACACTTTAATCTCTGCAGCATTT